ACAAAAGGCATCTGAAAGACTCTACCTAGCAGTGTTTCAAAGCAGACACTAAGACTCATAACCAAACCCTCGGCAGAGTGCAGGGAATCATATGAAAGAAGGGAAGTTAGTATGATATGGAAAGGATAGGAGCTCTACAAGGACCAAATATATCTGGGCACAGGGTCTTTTCTGAGACTGAAACTCAACCAAGGACCATCTATGGATATAACCTAGAACTTCTGCTCGGATGTGGCCTGTGGTAGCTCAGTAACCAAGTAGTTTTCCAAAGTAAGGGGGACAGGGACTATTTCTAACAGGATCTCAAGGGCAGGCTGTTTGACACCTCCCCCCAGGGGAGGAGCAGTTAGGCCACAGAGGAGGACTTTGCAGCCAGCCCTGAAGATACCTGATAAAACAGGGACAGATGAAAGGGGAGGAGGTCCTCCCCTATCAGGGGACTTGGAAAGGGGCAGGGAGGAGACCAGGGAGGGAGTGTGGGGTTGGGGAGGGAATGAGGGAGCGGGATACAGCTGGGACACGGAGTTAACAAAATGTAACTAAAAAGAAAAAAAAAAAAAAAAAAAAATAAAATAAAAAAAAAAAAAAAAAAAAAATAAATTTCAGTTGTGTTACTGCTAAGAGCAGACCCTCTCAAACAAGCAAGACTGGGTCTAAAGGCAAACATTCAGTTCTAGAACTAAAAGGAAGCCTTTAGCCCCACTGTTCCCAACCTGTGTGCCATGACCCCTTTGGCAAGCATCTATCTCCAAAAATATTTACAACTCAAACAGTAACAAAATTACAATTATGAAGTAGCAACAAAAATAATTTATGTCATACAGCTGGGACACAGAGTTAACAAAATGTAACTAATAAGAAAAATACAATTAAAAAAATAATAATTTATGTCTGTGGATCATAGCATGAGGAACTGTATTCAAGAGTCACAGCATTAGGAAGGTTGAACCCAGTGTCTTAACTCTTAGAATAAAAATGAACATGAGCAGTCTGAGTCTGAATAAAGAGTTCTCATCCTGCTGGTTGAAAAAGCCAAGTGAGATGAATGAGTAAAAGTAACAACAGCTTGAGGTCTCCTGCTCTGTCCCACTTCCACAAGAGAAAGCACATCAGACACTCCTATGGAAAATTTGATTGAGCAGATGAATTGGGAAAGGTAAATGGAAGAGAAAGAAAAGAAAAACCGTAACTTTTACGGTTGCAAAATGGGGTCCTAGCATTAGACCATATAGTTAAAACCTTAGCTTTAACTGCAACTGGCTCAACAACCTTGGACAAACTAACTAGCACTTGTTTTTGTATTAGCAACATACGGAGGAAACAATAACACTACTTTGCAGTGTTATTGTGAATATTAGAGAAAATACACCCAAAATTCTTTAAATATGTCCTCTGTACAAAGTGAGACTCAAACTCTTGTCACCCCATAGCTAGTATACCTGGTGATAGGCAGTAGTGAAGTGAAAACCCCGCAAGTATAAATAGGGAAGCCTGAATTAAGAGAGAGTCTACACTTCATAGATAAAGCATAGAGAAAAGCTCCTAGATCAATTATTTCATACACAAGAGAAAAATTTAAACTTAACTATGATATTCAATAATCATCCCATTTGGTGTCTTCCAAACAGACTAAAAGGGATGTCATCCTTAATTTGTGAATAGTTGAAAGATTATTAGCTACGCTGTTAGGAGACCTATAATGAGCATGCGCCCCTACCTCATTATGTAAACTTCATAATAAGACATGTACAGACAAAAATTCTATGAGGTTACAGAGTTCATGATAACTAAACTAAAGCCAACGGTATTTCTATACATTATCTTACCAGCTGAAGGCTTTGAAAATAAGTTTTCCATTAAAAACAAGGAAATCATGAAATTTTCAGGCAAATGGTAGGAACTAGAAAAGATCATCTTGAGTGAGGTAAACCAGAAACAGAAAGACACACATGGTATAGAGTCACTCCTAAGTGATTATTAGACAAATTGGATAAACATAATAAAATCTATACTCCTAAAGAAGCTAAACAAGGAGAACCCCCGGGAAGATGTTCAATCCTCATTCAGAAAGGCAAATGTGATAGACATCGAAAATAGGAGAAGACAGGGAACAGGACAGGAGCCTTTCACAGATGGCCTCTGAAAGACTCTACTGATTGAGGTACTGAATCAGAGGCTGAGACTCATAGCCAATCTTTGGGCAGACTGCATGGAATTTTATGAAAGAAGGGAGAGATAGAAAGATCTGGAGGCTACAGGAGCTCCACAAGGAGAACAACAGAGCCAAAAACAAAAAACAAACAAACAAACAAAAAAACTGTGCCCTGAGTGCCTTGCAGAGAATGATACCCCAACCAAGACAATACATGGAGACGAACTAAAACCCCTACTCCGATGTAGCCCATAGACTCAGTCTCCAAGTGGGTTCCCTAGTAAGGGAAGCAAGGACTTTCTCTGACATGAACTCAGTGGAAGGCTCTCTGATCACTTTCCCCTGGTGCACCTTTGTTAGGCCACAGAGGAAGACAATGCAGCCAGTCCTGATGAGACCTGATAGGCTAGGATCAGATGGAAGGGGAGGAGGACCTCCCCTATCAGTGGACTAGTGCATAGGGGGAGAAGAGGGATGGAGGGAGAGGTTGGGAGGAGACAAGGGAGTGGGCCACAGCCATCATACAAAGTAAATAAATTATAATAAATAATAAACTAAAATGTTTTAATAATCTATTTAGAAGGGAATAAAAAAGAACAAAGTTCCTGGGAATAAATTTAACAAGCATAAATTCTGTTTGTGTATAAATGATGAAACACTACTAAAAGTAGTTTAAAGACATATATGAACAAAAAGCCATTCTGTGTTTGGGGAGTACAAGACAATATTATTAAGAGAATAATACTAATCAAACTTAATCTATATATTGGTACAATTCCTACTGAAACACTAGTCAGATTTTTTTTTGACAAGCTAATCCTATATTTTATATGGAAATGTTAGAGCATCCAAATAATGTGAAAAAAATACTTTAAAAAGAATAAAGTAAATGGTCTTGTAGTTCCCAATAAGAAAACATACAACAGCTATGAATTTAAAGACGAGTAGGAAGGAATGTATGCAATGGTTTGGAGGCAGGAATGGAAAAGCAAATGTTGTAATAAAACTACAATCTCAAAAATGTTTTGACGAACTAGAGAGATGGCTCCGCAGTTAAGAGCTCTGGCTGCTCTGCCAAAGGACCTGGGTTCAATCCCCAATACCAACACAGTTCTCAGAACTGTCCATAACTCTTGTTCCATGGGATACAGTGCCCCCTTTTGGCCTCATGTGGCCAAACACACATGCAGGCAAAAAAAATACATAAAAATAATTTTAAAAAATAACTACAAATACACAATTACCAAGACACTGTGATGCTGAAATAAAGATAGACATAAAGGTCAATGGAATTCAGGTGAGACTCTAGAATAAACACGTACTTGTATGGTTTTGACTTTTATAGAAAGTCAAAAAAAGTGTCAAAAATTAATAGTCTTCAGCAAATGAGTCAGAAAACTGAATAAATACATGCAAAAAAATAAAACTGGACTTCCATCTCATATGCAAAAATTAACTTGAAATGGATTGCAGACATAAATTTTAAAACCAAACATATGAAACTTTCTGAAGGGTAAATTTTCATAACCTCGAGCTAGACAATGATCTTTTAGATAGAATACTGGAAGCAGGTTTGATTCAAAGTATACTATCAAAAATGCAAAAAGAAGCGCATAGAATAAGAGGAAAATTTGTATATGAAAGACCAAAAACTTGTATCTAGAATATGTTTTAAAAAAAAAACTTAAAAATCAAGAACAAAAGACAAAACACCCAAATTTAAAATGGGGAATGGATTTTCGTGGCTATTTTTTACAACATGACATATAGGCAACTCAAAACCATTAGGAAGCTACAATAAAAAAGCTTTATCAAGTATTTTAAGGGTGTAAGTGGACTGGAATCTTTATGCATTACTTGTGAAGTGCTAAACTGGTAGAGCTGCTTTGGAAAGCAGTTCAATAAATTCTCAAAATAGTCAGTATAGTGTTGTCATTTAAACCAGAGATTCTACTCCTGTGTATATACCAAGACAAAAGCATGTTTCCATGAAAAGTTGGACATAAATGATCACAGAACTATTCAGAATAGTCAAGAAGTAGAAACAACTCAAATACCCATCAATAGATAAACAATAAAAACATGTGATCTGTCCATTGTAATACAAAAGAAATGGAGTAGTGACTCACGCTACACAATGTATGAATATAAAAAACTTTATGTTAAATAAAAAAGTCTCAAAAAACCACATTTCATATTAATAGAGAATGTTCAGAACACCTATATCCATAGAAATATTAAGTAGGTTGGTAGTTACCAGGGACTGGAGGGAGGAAAGGATGGAATAGGAAATGGCAGGTAATAGATAAAGATTTCTTTTGGGATATTGAAATTAGAGTGTGGATGATTATATTATACTATAAATACACAAGGGCCACTGAACTGTATACTTTGTTAAAGGTAAATTTCACTTCAACTTATAAAAATGTTCAGACTGGATTATGTATCATGAGTCTCAAATACTGCATGTGGGGCAAGAATTCTGTAATCCTACCAAAACTTTAAATTCTACTAAATTTCAAAAGGAAACAACTAGTTCTTCGAGGAATGAAGCATGAAGTGATTTACAAGGCAGAGCTAACCAACTTCATCCTTCAGAGAACTTGAGAAGGAGTCTGATCTTGAAAGAAATTCTTACCCATCAATGAGTTTCCTATTTCACTTGTCACAGAGAAAAATAACCATGCGTATAGAGTCCAAGACAAACTTCCCCCAGTTCACCACTGAGTAAACAACACTTGCCTCCCACATGAAGCCAGAGCCCTAGAATGATGTTTTACTGAAGCAAAAATCTCACAACCTGAAGTACCCACCCTCCTATACTGAAGGGGAACAGAAAAGCAAGCTGAAAGCAGGCCGCAATTACAGAACTTCATTATCCTGCTGAAAGAAAAGCCGTGTTGATTGTTTCTGATTTTGCCTCTCTGGGGGTAAAATCATGACACCTTGACATGAACCATTCAGAGACTGGTTGGCTTGGCTCTGCAAACTACTTTATTGGGTGCAGGTTTGGAGTGGCTTTCTCCTCCCTAATGTACAACTCCAAGAGAAGACACTGGAGAATGGAGCTAGGTCTGTGAGGATTTACACAATGGAAAGACTAAGGTTTATACTGAATCATGGTCATTGATCGATCCAACCAGATGGAGTTTGACATTTTTAACCTGGAGACTTGGTCATATCTAAATTGGGGGGAGGGGGTTGTACAGTAATACAATGTAGAACCTTTCAAAAAGAAAAAAAAAAAGTAATCTGAAGACCTGAAAGAATGCTCTAGAATGCTTCTTTCATTTCAGCTGGATTCCAGGAGATGGTAGCAGATGGTTAGAAAGATGGTTAGCAGATGGCAACTTTGAAATGGATGAATTTAGCCAGGAAAAATAGCTCTGGATTCTGTGTACCACTGTTACACCTTATAGCATAATAAATAATATATGCATATGAGACAATATTTAAAAGAATGAATGAAAAGTAGGACTGTCTCTCATTCCTGTCCACTATCATATTGTTCCTTTCCCTAGAGGCAACCATCACTTACCAGTTGTTCTGAATCAGGCATTATTCAGTACTTGGAAAGTGGAAGCAGGCAAACCTGGGGTACCTGTTTCGAGACCCTATCTCAAAAATAAAAGTATTCTTCTTGGAATTTTTCTATTCACTTTACATCCTTGTTGTACCTCCATCCCTCTACCCCTCCCAGTCCCCCTCTCCTTCTCTTTCTCTCTCCCCTTCCCCTTTCTTCTCAGAAAAGGGAGCTTCCTTTCCTATCCACCCTAGCTCATCAAATTCAATCAGGACTGAGCACGTCTTCTTCCCCTACAGCCTGGCAAAGTAGTCCTGCCAGTGAAAAGTGATCAAAAGCTGGCAAGTAAGGTCATTTGTGATGCAGTCCTCACTTCCCTTACTAGAGGACCCACATGAAGCCCAAGCTGCCCATCTGCTACATCTTTGTAGGAGGCCTAGGTCCAGTTTGTGCATGGTCTTTGGTTGATGCTTCAGTCCCAGCAAGCCCCTCTGGGCCCTGATTAGTTGACTCTTTTGGTCTTCTTGTGGAACTCCTGTTACCTCCAGGTCCTTTTCTTTTTCCTCCCAGTTTTCCACACAACTCCCTACTCATCGTCCAATGTTTAGCTATGAGTCTTGGCATGATTTGAGGTGCTGCTGGGTAGAGTCTCTCATAGGACAACTCTGTCAGGTTCCTGTATTCAAGCTTAGCAAACTATTTTGCATAGTGTCAGGGGCTGGCACTCTCCAGTAGGGTGGGCCTTTGGTTGGGCTAGGCATTGGTTGGGCTTTCCTTCAATCTCTCCTTTATCTCCTCTATCTTTATACCTGCACATCCTGTAGGCAGGGCAAATTTGGGGTGGAAGTGTTCGTGGGTGGGTTGGTGTTGCCCTCCCTCTGTTAAGAGACTTGTCTAGTTAGAGGGTGTTCTCTTCAGTCTTTATGGTCTTTGCTACTAGGAGTCTCTGCTTGACTCCCCCTCATACCCTTCCAGGAGCCTACTCTGGCTGAGATCTCCAGCTTGTCACAGAGATTACACCCACCCTCAGTTTCTCTTTTTTCTATAGGCCTTCTGTCCTCTCAACCTTACTCTCCTCAGGTCTTATCTCTACCCTTTTAACTCTCTGCACCCTCTCTCCTACCCTGTTTCTTCTCTTCAGCCACTACCTCTGTCTATCCTATCTCCCCTTCCCAGTGAGATTTATGCATCCTCCCTTGGATCCTCTGTGTTACATATCTTCTCAGGGTCTGTGCCTCATAGTATACTTATCCTGTACTGTATGGCTAAAATCCACTTACAAGTGAGTATACACCATGTGTGTGTTTCTGAGTCTGGGTTACCTCACTCAAGATGATATTTTCTAGTTCCTTCCATTTGCCTACAAATTTCATGATTTCCTTGTTTTTAATAGCTGAGTAGTATTCCATTGGGTAAATGTACCACAGTTTCTTTATCCATTCTTCAGTTAAGGGACATTTAAGTTGTTTCCAGATTCTGGCTATTACTAATAAAGCTGCTATGAACATAGTTGAGCAAGTGTCATTGTTGTATGGCAGAGTGTTTTTGTTTTTGTTTTTTTTTTTTTGAGGGGGGGGAGTATGCCCAGGAGAGGTATAGCTGGGTATTGAGGTAAAGCTATTTCCAATTTTCTAAGAAAGCACCAGATAGATTTCCAAAGTGGTTGTACAAGTTTCCATTCCCACCAGCAATGGAGGAGAGCTCCCCTTTTTCCACACCCTCACCAGCATATACTGTCACTTGAGTTTTTCATCTTAGCCATTCTGATAGGTGTAAGACAAAATCTCAGAGTTGTTTTGATTTGCATTTCCCTGATGACTAAGGAAGTTGAGCATTTCTTTTAAGTGTTTCTCAGCCATTTGAGATTCCTCTGTGAAAAATCCTCTGTATAGTTCTGTGCCCCATTTTTAATTGGATTATTTTGTTTATTGGTGTTCGATTTCTTGAGTTCATTATATATTTTGGATATTAGGTTCTTCTTGGAATCTTCTATACATTTGCAAACACAAATAGCAATATGCTTTTGTTGCTTAATTTTCTCAGATGTTTTCTAAGACATAATTTTTTGCAGAACTTCATTATATGGTATGGATGCATCATGATTATAATTATGTGATAAATTTTACTATCAATATTTTAAAGAAAGGGAAGTAACTTATTTTCTTTCCTGTTGCTCTGATTAAAAAAAAAAACACGACAAAAGCAACTTAAGGGAGAAGGGCTTATCTTAGCTCACATTTCCAGGTTAGAGTCCATTATAACAGAGAGCTCACAACAGCAGGAAATTAAAGCAACTGGTCACATCTCCAGTCAAGGAGCAAAAATCTACAAATACCTACCTCTGCTCAATCTTCCTCTCCACTCACATAACCCAGGATTCCAATTAGAGAGTGGTGCCTCCACAGTAGGGAAGATCTTCTTACCCCATGCTCTCAAGCCAACTTAATCTAGCCAATCCCTCACTGAGACTCTCTTCCAAGGTAATTCCAGATTTTGTCTAGCTGACACATAACACTAACCATCACCGGTGGGTAAGTGGTTCCTCACGGGAACCATTAACCATGAAAGTATTTTGTTCAGCCATTACAATGGTTTTAAAAAGTGGCTTTTAATGGATGTTGCCATAGAAGATGTGGTAGAAAAAAAGCTATCAATCAATATCCACCCTCCTCTTTTAAAGTAAAAGGGTACCAATTAGAAAACAAATACCCTGTTCAACAGCTATATATATGAATGGGACCAGGTTTTGTTCCCTTGGTCAGAGTGGTGCTGGTGGAAGTCCCTAGTCCAAATATTTAAAAGAGAAGCTATAACTCCTCACACAATCTCTGTGCTTCTGTCAGGATTCTTAAAAACAGGAATAAAGCTTTTTACCATCCCCATGGAAACCTCATGCTGTGAACTTTAGGCTTGGCTTTGGAAGAAGAGGTCAGTCAAAAGTGAAAGGAGGGGAAGTTCCATCCAGAAGAAGAGGAAAAAAAACATTTTATGGGAAAAAAAATTATCATTGCAATGAGAATAGTCAGTTCAATTATAAAAAGGATTCGCCTCAGTGTGTGATTTTTCTTACAGAAAAATCTTATAGACTATCTCCAGGTTTTGTAGGTCTGTATCACACCTGACTCCCCTGCAACTGTCTCTGACATGAACTCAGTGGCCTGCTCTTTGATCACCTCCCCCCTGCGGGGGTAGCAGCCTTACCAGGACACAGAAGATGACAATGCAGCCACTCCTGATGAGACCTGATAGGCTAGGGTCAGATGGAAGGAGAGGAGGACCTCCCCCATCACTGGACTGGGGGAGGGGCATAGGAGGAGCTGAAGGAGGGGGCTACAGCTGGGATACAAAGTGAATAAACTGCAATTAATATAAAAAATAAAAATTAATTAAAAATTTTATTAATAAATTTAATTAATTAAGTAACCCTGATAGATAGATAGATAGATAGATAGATAGATAGATAGATAGATAGATAGATAGATAGGAAATAAAGAAATGGTCTCACTGTATAACCCTGGCCGGCCTTGAACTCACTTTATAGACAAGTCTGGTCTTGATCTCACCAGAGAGCCACCTGCCTCTGACTCCCAAGAGCTAGGATCAAAGTAGCTAGTATGCCATCACACATGGTTTCTTTTTAAATTTCTTTTAGATTTACTTGCTTTATTTTATATGTTTGGGCATTTTGCCTGAATGTACATATGTACACCAAATGCATGCTTTGTACCCATGGAGCAGTTACATGGTTATGTGGATACTTGGTCCTGGACAGAGCAGCCAGTGTTCTTTGCTGCTGTGCCATTTCTCCAGCCACTCCATCTATTTTTTTCCACATTATCATTACACTTTAAGCTTCTGTCTCTTAGCACCTGAGTAGCACACACTTCTTTCTACCACCATGGGGATCCCATTTTTAAAAGAAGGCTTTGTTTTAGACTTGTTTTTCAAATCAAATTGATAACTTGCTCCATCTCAAACCATCTTCACCCTCTTTCCCATACCTTTCCTTTTTCTTTTTTTTTTTTTTAATAAATAAAGCAGCCCAAATAGACTTTGTGTTAAAGGACAAAATTAGCAGAAGAGACCGGAGGGATAAGGACCTAGCAGAGCAACAAAGCACATCAGCCGCCCATGGCCACACTGAGATTCTCATGTGCCTTAGAGAAGAGAGGCACAGAAGTTCTTAGGCAAAATTTGAAAAATATAGTAAGTGGTGTTTGTGATTGGTGAACAGAAGCTGCACCCGGCTTCTGTTTGTGAGCAGATGAGTCACGAAAGAATAAATAATGGCCAATTATAATGTGAAAAGATGTTTGACCTTACAAGGGATCAGGAAAGTTTTTGCGCATGTCTAAAAGGATGAAGACTGATGCGTGATGTTAATGGTGTAAGGGAACACTCTCAGACAGTGCTAGAAATAAAGCAAGCTGATAGATTTTCTGCAGAAGTCTAGCAACATCTACCTTCACTTTTATACACATCTAGAGCCTTTGATCTCAAAACTCCTAAATTTAGGATTTAACACAAGAAAATAATTAGATGCAAAAACAACAGCATAGAATTGAAATTACTGATAACTTTGGCCTTGTTTGCCACCTAAGAGCACAGTGGAATTACAGGGGAGGAAAAAAAGGTTTGCATCTGTTGGGGAAATACATAATCAACAACACTACCTCCATATCATAGGTCCATTAAAACAAATTATACAGTTCTTCACTGTGAAAGAGAAACAAAGGCTAATTGGAAAGGATAGGACACAGAACAGCAAGTGTAGTCTGATCTTGTTTACCTAAAGTGATGTCAAAAGACAAGTACAATATGAAAGGTCACATAACTTCTCTTGGGCAAACTACTCGGGTATATTTAGTCTCTACTTTTAGGCATTTCTGCTTCACATTTTTATTATTTTCTAGAAATATAGGACATAATAAAACTATACATAATTTAGAAAACCTCTTGTACTTTTTTAGTAACAATAAAAAAATTAAGTAGATGCAATGTGTGGTGGTTTGAATGAGCTGTCCCTTATGGTCTTGGGTATTAGGATACTTAGTCCTCAGTTGGTGGTTCTGTTTGGCCAGGCTTAAGAAGCATGGCCTCACTGGAGGAAATACATCACCAAAAACAGGTTTTCAGAATTTAAGGGCCCTGGGCCTCTTCAGTTTTCTCTGTCTGCTGCTTGTGGTTTAAGATATGAACCATCAGCTCTCAGCTTGCTGCTCCAGTTATCATGCCTGCATGCTGCCACTCTTTTCCAACCCCCATGGTGATGGGCTCTTTCTGTAAGTCGCCTTGATCATAGTGCCATACCACAGCACTGGAAGCCTAAGACACCTACTAGAAAACATTTTATTCTTCGCCATATAAACTGAAACTGCTTCTTAAAAGTTCATTTCTGTAAGCCTCTAGTGTAAGTTGGATATGGTGGCTCACACCTGTAAATCCAGTACTTCAGAGACTGAGGTAGGAGGATTCCCCCACAGGTTCAATACCACCCTGGGACTACGTAGTGATTCTGAGGCCACCCTGGGCTAAATAGTGAGATTCTGGATCAAACAAAACAAAAATTCAGTTATGTAAACCTATTCTGAAAAGACAGTGAAATTAGGCTAAGAATGCAGATCTCTCTATCAAGCTATTGTCTTAATTTTTGATTTATTTATTTTATTATTTTATGTGTATGTGTGCTTTGCCTGCATGTAGTCTGTGAACCAGATATATGCACGGTCCACGGAGTCCAGAAGAGGGCACTGGATCCCTGGAACTAGAGCTGCAGATATGGTGCTGTCTACAACATAGGTGCTAGGAACTGAACCTAGATCCCTCTGAAATAGCAACCCAAGATTGTAATATTTGGGTAATCTCTCCCAGTACACCCTAAGCTATTTTTAATACAACTATTAGATTTGTCTAGACATATTACAAGAGTTTTCTTCAAGACAGTCATCAAACCAAAATACTTTTCATCAAAAAAATACCTGTCACTCCTGACGATACTAAAAGACACTGGCTGAATTTAGGATCTCCCTAAAACAGCCTTGAGATAGAAACTTGAGAGTGTACCTTATTTGGCTGTGGGCAAAGTCATACAGAGCATAATAAAAAGATTTATCTAAGGTTTGTTAACAAATGGGTACTATGGCAGACTAAACCAGAGTCTTGGTACTGTAGAAGCCTTCTGAAAAACTTTCTAGAAAAACACACACACACACACACACACACACACACACAAAACTATCCACTGGCATCAAGAGAGGCATGGGACTTTATCCTCATCACTCAAGAACAAAGTATCAGGGCTGCCCCTGAAACTTTCCGGCCACGGAAATATGAGCTTTGGTTGCATTTTAAGGTGTCTGGGACAAACAGGGAGAAATTTGAAGTATGTTTATCAACTAATCAAAGCCTTATAATCTCCTGAAGTACATATTGGCCTTACTTTAAAGAAAGCATTGGGGCAAAGATTAGCTTACTTTCTGAAAAACAAACAAACAAAAAGCAGCTATGCTGAACTCCAAATACACTGAGAGATAAACATACACTTCCATGCTCCGTCCTTGCAAGGTAGCTATCCAGATTATTTTAATCTTCTTGAAGCTACATTATAGTCTTCTAGCTCCTAATCCTATAACCATGTAAAATTTTCATAACAGCATCACCCACAGACTACTCTTACCCTAAAGACTAGTCACTATGAAATTACATCAGAATTTGGAACAAAGTACGGGAGGAAATTTAAGAGAAATTTTTGTCTGATGAACTCATTGCAGAGAATCAGTTCCATAGAGAGATCCAGATTCAAGTATATTAAAAAGTAATCTCTAACTTTACTGTGAGGAGAGTACTTTATTAGAACAAGTGAAATATCCTGAGCTCTGCCAAGACACTGAGGTCATGCTAGTGTGAGAGCCAATGAGACTCTTTGCTTTGGTAGAAAGGGTAATAATGTACACACTGCTAGCAGTCAAGTCTGCTTTGGTTTAAACTGCACACAGGTTGAGAAAATATTTCAGGAAATCATATTGATAGTTTGCCTACATACATCATTGGAAAGGCCCTGGCAGCTCCCAAAATGACATCTGAGACAGTGTTGTCTATGCTGTCACCTGTACTGAAGCAAAGGCAGGTCTCTTACATGGTGTTCCTTAGGTTTCCTAGGACACACCCTGCCGCACAGGAAGTAAGGGAAAAGGTAGTACTCTCTGACACCCCCAGCCCCAGTGTAGCACTACAGCTGCTGGCTCAAAATAATTCCCAGAAACCCCAGAGCAGCCCACCCACAAGGCCCACAGCCCTAGACCCTCTTCCCACCACCCAAACAGTAGTCAGATTTGGAGTCTTCTGAACTGAACCCTAAGAACACAAGGATAAACTGTCATCAAAGGCTCTGGCCAGATGCTGATCACTGATCTCTAACCATAAGAACCACACACTGTCTCGGGAAAATGCTAGTGATCTTATTTACAGAGGACCAGACTGCAGCCAAGTACACAGTGTACTGCCTGGAGCTGAAGCATTCTTATTCTCTTAGTAAAGAAGAACTTCAGAATTCTTGATCCTCAGCAGTGTGGGCAAGTCTTCAGACCCATATGCTATGTATGTCTCTGGTATTATTCCCTGCCCAAGAATATCACAGCAACATATATATTCGCATGGCAAGGAAAATTGCCACATCTGTCTGCTCTTTCACCTGACACACAGAGGCCTTTGCAGCAGAGATATAAATTGGCTCCTACAGGAAAAGAGAGGGCTTTGGAGGCAGGGGGCACTTCACCTGGCACGCTGGGCTGGAAGACTTTATTCAGATCCAAGGAGGAGGCTCTGGAATGGGTTTTCTGTGGCCGTGGTGGCGGGGTGGGAGGGTCCTCACCCCTTTTCATGGCCTCTTCTATGGAGGTGCTAGAGTAAGATCTGTAGCAAAATAAGGGAAGGTCAGAGGGAAAAGAGCAGAGCTTTATTCCCTGAAGCTGGGTTGAAAGAGAAAACATCCCAGAGTCAAAATGACTATGAAACAGACAAGCTGCCAAAAGCAACTATAAATTCTATTGTTCCTTAAGTGCCATTGTGTACAGCAACTGTCCAAAGCCAGCATAATTGGGATATGATGTCCTTATTGTGTCATAAACCTAAGTTTACACCCTCTCCAAAAATGTTTTGTATAATTTCAAATCAGTTTCTGTTGTAGTTGTTAGTAAGAATAGTGTGTAAGCCTTTCAGCTTGCATACTTCAGTGTTTGGGGGGGGGAAGGGCTTTCATGGTATTAACTGATTAAAAAACTGGTTTACTCCCAATGTGATGGCAGGCACACATAGGAATGGGACAGACACCCTGTGACTAAGAACTCAAATACAAGGGTTGTGCCACAAATAACACTTAGGAAAGGGAAACACATCAATCAGCTTCAAGAGGTTAGCCAGCCTTGCCCGGGGAAATAAGGGTTTATGAAAATTTTCAAAGCAAAGACGTAATTTTAACCTTCTTTAAAGTGTAGCAAGGCACATCTAACTTGATGACTTTTGAAACAACAACAATATTTGAAGAAATGGAAGAAAAGCGAGAATGTTGCAAACTCCAATCTGTTTCTGCTTCACTTCTTAAGATGTTGTTTTAGTGCTTGTGAAGCAGAGAAGAAATCTTCCTGCAGTAGTAGCCAGGATATTTAGTGGCACCTACTTATTTCCTATGTTAAACTCCATACTTTTAGGTTTATTGATAAGATGGGCCCCCAATATGATAAGGAGGAAAATCATGGAAAAAGTAGATGTGTCTATCTCTTCTGTTCAGCTTCTCAACTGACTTTATATCAAATCGGAAAATTACATCTGAATCGAAGATACAACTGAGAAAGAAATTACCTTCAGGAAGCTGGCTTCCGTAATTAGCTATTACAATAGTTCTTCCTGCATTAATCGATGCTATTAAACTCCTTTAGATTTAGTAAAGTTGTTTTTGACAAAGCAAAGTTTTGTTTGTTTCTAACTTTTTTTAGGTTTGTTCTTTGACCACTTCATACATGTATAATGTGTGTACATATTATTACAGCCTCCTCTCTAATTTCCCTCCCATTTTTATTATCCCCGATTTCTCCCATGTCTCCTTCCCACATCCATGAGGTTTGTTGATTGTTATTTTGATTTTTTTCCTTTGTTTACGAGGCCCACTGAAGTTTATGTGTGTGACTAAGAGTTTGGAACTGCCCATTCAAGTCTGGTGAACTCCTTGGTAGGTACACAACTAGAGACCATGACTTTTCCTCTTCCAGAATCCATCAGTAACCAATAGTTCATCAGGATAGATTCACATGAGCTTCAATTCATAATTAACTGTTACAAGGCAAGGTTTTTCTTATCCCCAAACAGAACAAAACAAAAGTTTCTCAAGGTCTCTCTGTGCTTGCTGAAGGTTTTGTTTGTCTTGCAATGAAGCAATCTTTGAGACAACCATAATAATGATATGGGGCATGCTCTTGGCTTGATACTTGTACCATATCTGGATAGACAAGGCAAACAAAGACAAGAGTTAAAGGAAAAGTTCTCTAACTCTGCCAGACACAATCCAAGAAAATTAACAATCACTCTGTAAAGTAAGCTAGAGTTCCTAGCCAGAAATTAAAGAAAAAAGTTTCTATGCCACATGCAGCTTTGTTGACATCTTCTACTTAAAGAAGAAAGAATAAGTGTAGAAACATAGGTGTAATAGTTTGTGTGTGCATGCATGTGCTTGTATGCACATATACACACTACCCCATACCACATATCTCCTTTCCATATATGATCTTCATGCTTATATTTTCACATGGAAAGGTACTGAATACCAAATAAGCGAAGACTGTATGGCAGGACTGTGACCAAGTAAAACACAGTGTGCAAGGAATTGGCAAAATAAAGAACAACAGAATAGCAGAATGATAATTTTTCCTCTTTCCCATATACTTCTACAAGGCTTTACCACTTGACAAATAAGGAAAAAAAAAGATGATTTGACACTCTTAATCTCAGTAAATAGCCAATTGGAAATAAGGAAAATAAAATTATCCATATTGTACCAGGAGGCCAACCTCTAAAAGAATAACATATAAGATTTGTCCAGACCATTACTAGTGAGCATGTGCCTTTGAGATTTTTATACTTTCATTCATTTTGAGGGAGAGAACTCAGCAGAAGCTTTATTTATGAAGTTCGATTTATGGTTAATATGGTATATATCAGCTCATGTCTGCAATTCATGGAAATCTTTTCATATTGTAAAAATGGGTAAATATTATCATTTCTATCCAAAAGCTAATACAGAGTAATATGTATAAAATATACATGAATGTAGGTATCTGTGGTTTATATGAGCATGAAAATGAAACCTAAATTCTTTGATTTATAGTGAGATAGTTTGTCCTTAAATTTCATAAAATATGATAAAGCTTAAATCCACTTGGGAGGTGGTATAGAGGAGCTGAAGATGGAGGAGGAGGAAAAAAGTCACTGAGAGTTAAAGTAAAGCAAAACAAGCAAGCAAACAAAAAACAACCAAGCCTGTATTACACTGCACCTCTACTGCTTAAAGGTGGCCTCAACATTTCTTGTCTGTAGTGGGCTAACTCTTTTAGTGTCTCATATTTCTCCATCTGCTCTTCTCTTCTAAGTCTGATAACAGCTACAAGTCTGCTCTCTTGGTTCTCCTTCTTTCATTTCTGGCGATTTAAAACTGTGGAATTGAGAAAAGGTGCTATGAATGGCTCAAAGAGACCCCTAAGTAGTGCCTACCCGAAGCCCAGTGTATCCTTGAAGTCACCATAAGAATTTTCCCTTCTCTAGATTTTATGTTTCAGACTTTTTATTGGTTAGGTGTTCACATTCACCGAAACTTTAGCTGTTAACTTTTAACCCTGGTTGCCTCTTAACAAAGCTATACCCAGCCCATTATTTATCACCCAACCCCAAGTCAGTCATGATACACAAAGTACTACCTATCAGGGGTACAGATGACAATAGCCACCATCTTCTAGCACTAATGCTCACAAAGACTACAAGGCTTTCCAGCATCACTATGTAATTGACGCAGGCCACTCGCAAGAAGTAAAACAGCCCACATATTTGATTCACATCTAAAGGTGAAGCAGATTTGGGTGTGGGTTTGGGGTTTGGAATTTATCCCTAGGCAGGGATAAAGCACACAGGGCATCAAATGAGAAATGAAATAAACACTACCTGGATCTTGGTCTTGCTTTGAGACCGTTGCAGTCCTTAGAAGTTGCTGAAACGAAAGATTATTTGTTGGTTGCTTGGGTTTTCATTTCTCAATTAATCAGGGATGGAAGGAGCACCTGGGCTTGTACAGAACACAGCAACAAGTAAAGCTCAGGTTGATGTACCCATGTGAAGAACACAGGGGCTTCTACACTTTCATAGTTCTCTGAGTTTACTTTTAAAGTTAAAGGCGCAATGAGACGGTAAGAAATTCAGCATGTTGTCTTTCACTGGGACATTGAGAGGGCATTCTCAAATCTAAATGGATTAATGGAGACATTCCAAAATAAAAAGACAACCCACTTAAGAGTTTGTCTTTTTATATAATGATAGATTCCTACCTGAGGGCTTGTTGGTCTCTCGTCATAGTCTAATAATAGACTTGAAACTAGTCTCACATGAAGCTTAGGAAGAAATATATCTACCTACATATTTTCCTTAACTATATAACATTTTCAGAGACAAATGTAGTGGCTAATACCAGAATTCTAGATGCAGAGGCAGGAGGCCACAAGCTCAAGGCCAACCTTGTCTACATATTGAGTTAGGCTCGCCAAGGCTAATTAATGAGATCTTGTGCAAGTGTCTGTATATGTGTATGTGTGTGCCTGTGTCTGTGTGTCTGTGTGTGTACACACATGTGCACAAAGCACTATGGTCACAAGAAAGCTGAGCTCTTACAAAAAAAAAAAAAGTTAAATGGTATGCAGCTTTTCCTATAAGAAATATCCCTAGCCAGGTATGGTGGCTCATGCTTATGATCCCAGCACTTGGAAAGCTGAGTAAGGAACATCACTGTGGTTTTTTTAGAAAAGTCAGGGCAACACAGTAAGTTCCAGAATGCCTGTCTAAACTACACAGTGAGACCATATCTCAAAAACCTCCCTCCACAAAAAGAGAGAGAGAGAGAAAGAAAATAATCTTGTCCCCGTGTCTCTGTAACCAAATCGGACAAAGAATACTATGAAATAAAATCATTAAAATGTGCTTCAACCATACATTTCCTCATCAAACCTAAACCAGAAACTAATGTGCTCACTACCAACACCCATGGAGTCCACTTTCCCAACAGAAGTTGTGGGGAGTAATTAGAAACACTTACAAAAACATCAGTCCTCTTTTTGTGTTTCCATTCATTTTTGGAAGGTGCCTTTAGAAGCTCATAGCTCTGCTATGGTTTTGCAAACACTGCAAGTTTTCACTATAAAAATCTACAAGAAGAACGCTACTAATGGGGAAAATATAATTTGTTTCTTTGTTTCACAGATTTAGCCAAAAGAAAGTGTCTGGCTGCACTATTCTATCCTTATTTATGCTGCTCCAAAGATAAAAAGCCTCCTCTGGTAGAAAGCAGTGTAGATTGATGATGATCATTAAAACCCTTGGGTTAGACAAGCAAGGCAGGAAGGATGGCTGAAAATTCTCAGAAATGCTAGCAAAGCAAAAGCAAACTCCCAAGAGAGTGAACCTCTCCTTACATGTAACGAAGAGCCATTTCCAGCTTGGTGTCCAAGTGGGTTCCCTAGTAATGGAAACAAAGACTGGCTCTGACATGAACTCAGTGGCCTGCTCTTTGATCACCTCCCCCCGGTGGGGGAACAGCCTTACCAGGCCACAGAGGTATACAGTGCAGCCACTCCTGATGAGACCTGATAGACTAGGATCAGATGGAAGGGAAGAAGGACCTCCCCTATCAGTGGACTTGGGGAGGGGCATGGAGGAGAAGAGGGAAGGAGGGTGGGAGTGGAAGGGGATGAGGGAGGGGGCTATAGCTGGGATACAGTAAATAAACTGTAATTAATTAAAAAAGAATATTTTTTTTAAAAAGAGCCATTTCTCCTGACCTAAGCATTTTGGCTTGCTGTAGTGAGAACAGGCATGTTTTCCCTTCCATCTGAAATGCTGCCATATTCCCCTCCTCATCATGAAAGTGTGGAACAGCCAAGGAGACCGAGACTCTTTTTGTTCATATCATGGACCCCTACCTGAGCAAAGAAGAAATGACACTTCCGTCCCCCCTCCCAACTCCAGGCAGCAAAGAATGGCAAACCTATATGGAGACTCCCCTCTCTCCCAGCCAATGAAACTGCCCTGAAGCTATAAGAGGAAACATGTGGCCAGACTCATGGCAGAGCTGGAGGCAGGCCTCTGACGAGGCCCTCTGTGTTCCTCTTCTCCCTCAGGACTCACTGCTTGCCAGAGATATTTGGGGAGCAAAAGTCCCAGCCGTGCAGCCCTGCTAGGCCACAGAAGAGGACTTTGCAGCCAGGCCTGAAGAGACCTGATAAGCTAGGGTCAGATGAAAGGGGAAGAGGACCTCCCCTAGCAGTGGACTTAGAGAGGGGCAGGGAGGAGATGAGGGAGGGAGGGTGGGAATGGGAGGGAATGAGGGAGCGGGATACAAAGTTAATAAACTGTAACTAAGATTAAAAAATAAAAAAATATTTAAAAAATAAATAAAAGTTTTATTTACTATTTTTAAAAAATAGTCCTAGCCATGTTAAAACACTGTTTCTCACACCACCAGACCATGGTAACCATTAATTCCTTTGTCATTTGTCTTTATCATTATCTGTGTGCTGGTACAGGGACGGGTATGGAAGGAAGGGTGAGCACTGCTAAGGAGAGACAGACAGACAGACAGACAGACAGACAGACAGACAGATGAAATGCTGAAGATGAAGTAGGGGTGTAGATGAGCAATGAAGAACAAACAGAAACCAGGCTGGGGGTCCAGAGATACTCCTCCTAGCCACGTCACTAAAAAGCTGAGCTTCCCTTTCCTCACCTGTTAAGCAAGTCCCTCTCTCACAGGGACAAATAAGAAGGCTGGAGTCCTAGGAAAGTGAATGTCCTACAGAACTGCAAAGAGTTCCATTTGTATAGGACATATATAAAGGCTCCTAATATCCTAGGCCTTCAAATCTGGATTCTGAATTTAGTTCCTTACAGAATTGAAAATAAAAAAGAGGCTCAGATGGAGCAGGGAGTAGAAAGGCTGAGCTGCTGCACTACAGAAGGACTGTGAACTGGTCACTAGCAATGGACAGCACCTAGGACTGTCCCCAGCTGTCTGGAGACCAAACTGCACATGACCCACATCTTGCCATGACCCAGAGGCGAGATGAAAACTACTGATATCTGTGCACCGTATGTGGTTGAATTGGGCTAGAATGGAACATGAGGCGTGAAACCTCTTGGATTTTCCTGATACGTATCCATTCAACTAAAGGGCTAAGAGGATGTGCAAAATGTTTAACAAGGAATTCCCATTCCCTGATGACATGGTACCCCTCATCTATTACCCACCACATCACCTTCACTGCCATCACAGTGATTATCACCATGTATGGGGATGATAGGCAGAGCAGAGGCACACTTTTTCTCTCTGCCTGCAAAGATGTAGCTGAGGCACAGCTTGGTAAGTCGGTTCCGGTTTCAGACTACAAAAGCCTCAACAGTACCAGTCTAGTTAAATCTTCTCTCCACCCCCCTGACGGCCCTAAGAGCCAACTCAGCTTCCTGGTGCGTATGAGTATCTGCAGAAACGGCAAGGAACACACTGGGTTGCAAGCTCAAGGCAAAGCCAATGGATGGATCACAGCTTCTCATTTAGCTGGAGAGAGGGGGAAATGACAACCTCCTGAAACACTCCAGGGACGTTATCTTTTGTCATCTTTCCAGGAAATGAGAAAAGGAAGAGGACATATACCTAATGATTGACCTTCTAAAAGGTTACAGTGGCACTGAGAGGAACTGTCTCCAGTACTTTGACCACCATGCAGAATTATAATTACTACTTTACCACTCTCCTATCCCCCAGGGGGAGACTGTGCTTACCACCCAGAAAATAGGCTATTAAATATGTTTGAGATGAGTGATTGCATCGTATCCAGAAGGGGGCAGCAATGGGAAGAATAAATCAAAAAAAAGATACAGCATGTTCCCAGGCAGTGCGAAACAAATTTAGATATACTTCGTGTGCTGTGGCACACCTGTTAGGTTTTAGCCAGTGTTGCCAAGCCCTTGTCAAAGAATGTTAAAAAATGAGAATTGAGGTGCATGCCTCAGAGAACACTTGATCTCATGCTGAAATCTCTGGAACAAATAGAAAGATTTAGAATTCTCAAATTCTATAGGAGAAACATTAATTTAACACTTCAGACTGAAATATTTTTTACTAATACCATGTCACAAAATTTACAAAACCTTCACATCCAAAATCAGAGTCATTAAGAATTGGCCTATACACGTGAACTAAGTAGCAGGCTCTTTGACCACCTCCCCCGAGGGAGTGGGTACAGCCTTGCCAGGCCACAGAGGAAGACAATGCAGTCAGTTCTGATGAGATCTGAGAGTCTAGGTTCAGATAGGAAGGGTAGGAAGTCCTCCCCTATCAATGGACTAAGAGAGGGGCATAGGGGGAGAAAAGGGAGAGTGGGAATGGGAGGGGACTAAGGAGGGAGCCACAGCTAGAATACAAATTGAAAAAATTATAATAAATGATAATTTTTTAAAAGCTTCAGAAAACACAAAAAAAAAATGGCCTATACAAATAAAGCATTTCCCCTGTGATGAATGGATCCTAATATGTTTCAAAAGTCAAAATCAGGCCTGAAAATTCCCACTGATTTTAGAGTCATAATTGACTTACCATCTTAATTTCCTATTTTGCAGCACTCCTTTTTGGTGGTATTGGTTTCCAAAAAGGCCAGAATCACCAAATAGGACACATACCAGAATCACCTGGGTCCTGGTGATTTCTTCTGCCCAGTCCTTCCTATCTCCTCCTAATTCATCGTTCTCCACCCTTCTCTTGCTTTTTTATGTATATTTCATTAATTACAGTATATTCACTTTGTATCCCAGCTGTAGCCCCTCCTTCATCCCCTCCCAATCCCACACTCCCTGTTCTCCTCCCATGCCCCTCCCTCAGTCCACTGATAGGGGTGGTCCTCCTCCCTGTCCATCTGACCCTAGCCTATCAGGTCTCATCAGGACTGGCTTCATTATCTTCCTCTGTGGCCTGGTAAGGCTACTCCCCCCTCAAGGGGAGGTGATCAAAGAGCTAGCCACGGAGTTCATGTCAAAGACAGTCCCTGTTCCCCTTACCAGGAAACCCGCTTGGAGACTGAGCTGCCATGGGCTACATTTGTGTTTTAGAAGTAGGAGAAAACAGGGAACAGGACAGGAACCTACCACAGAGGGCCTCTGAAAGACTCTACCCAGCAGGGTATCAAAGCAGATGCTGAGACTCAGATCTAAACTTTGGGCAGAGTGCAGAGAATCTTATGAAAGAAGGGAGAGATAGAAAGACCTGGAGGATACAGGAGCTCCACAAGGAGAGCAACAGAACCAAAAAAAATCTGGACACAGGGGTCTTTTCCAACCAAGGACCATGCATGGAGATAACCTAGAATCCCTACTCTTGCTTTTAAACTTCAAACAAACTTAATGTTTGGGAAACATAAGCATAAGCTTAGGTAGTCTTGATTCCTCTGTTGCAACTTTAAACAAATAAGCTCAGGATGGTAGAAACATTATTTACATTCTAAATATTCAAGAGCAATAACAATAAAGAAGGAAGCAAAAACTTCTTTCAACTCCTCATAACCAAAGATCTAAGTAAAAATGCTTTCTGGAGCCACTTGACTTTTAACAAGGTTTATCTTGCTTCAGTGATGGCCCCATTAAGAGAGAACTAAAGAGGGCTAAAGAGATGGCTCAGCACTTAACAGTGCTTATTGTTTTTGCAGACAACCTGGGTTTAGAACCCAGTACCCATATGGCAGCTCACAAGCATCCGTAATTCCAGTTCCAGGGGGTCCAACACCTCTTATTGACATACATGGGCACTGCACACATTTAAGGCACATATAAATACTCAGGCATATATACATACACACATAAAATTAAATAAATAAATATGTTCTTAGAGGGCTGAATATACTGGCCCAGACATTCTCTATGGTTTCCCAGACACATTTTTATTTCTCTAAGAAGCTGACCTGAGCAATTTCTATATTTTTTTTCTCCTTGGAGTCGAATGCATGTTTTTTTGGTTTTTTTTTTTTGTTTGTTTGTTTGTTTTGTTTTGTTTTGTTTTCTCCTTGGAATCTACTGTATCTAAGCATTACCTTCCTGGTAGGGAAGGATTATAAAGATATTTAACATTGATACTTTCGCAATGGAAATATAAATTCTGGGTCTCTCATCCACCTTATGAGTTCCTTACTTTACAAAGAAAGCGCAGGCATTGATCTGAATCACTGTCCCAGTTTTATACTTTTAAATTCAAACAGAATGAAATGCAAGTTCAGAGCAGAAAGTCATCCTCTTCTAAAGAGAGGGAAACAGTAGAAAACCTAAGGCTTCTTTTAATAAAACACAAGCCGAAAATTTAGAAACAGACACACTATTACAGACACAACAATCTTCAGTCACCAAACAGCTGTTTTTTTTAAATTAGAAATTATTGGATAGAACATACATTAAAATGGTTTTCTCCTACCTGTATCCTCAGATATGTCCTTTGGTAAGGATTCATTAACAGTACTTTTCAAAGCTAGTAGTATTTTGTTTCATTTTTAAGGAAGAGGGAAGAGAAAGGAGAAGAAAGAGAAAACAAAAGCCTTGTGAAATTTTGTATCTGTCATACATTGCATTAAAATGAATACTCCCTATCCATCAGTTACAGAAAAGTCTCACAAACCTGTAGAAGTTGCTATAGCATTTCTAGAATAATGAAAACCTCATAGAACATGGAAACAGTTTCTCCTTTTACAGAAGGAAGCTTTAATTTCAACTTTCTAGAGAGACAGCCATTAGTGGTTAAGAGAGGTATTACAAAAAAAATCCACATTTCTCCTGTTTTCTTTAATAGGAGAATGTTTGAGATTTAAACACAAACTTCAATGATTTTAGAGTTTTGTAGTCAAGGCAAAGACCCATACATTAGGAGACTGATCAGCTGTAGATAATGTCTAGTTCCACTTGAATCTCCTAAACAAACATTTAAATAGAAAGCATGAATCCATTGGTGCAAATAGAAAACTTCTTTTTCATCTTAATGTGAGGCTGAATTAATGGAAGGGCTCAACAATAAAATCTGAAATGGCTTCACTTCAGAGGGGCTTCTCTCACTTGTGAGTGGTGAATTGATATAACAGTTGGAACACCAGCTTAAGACAGAAAATCTTGGTTCTTATCCCAGTTTTTTTTTTTTTTTTGAAAAGTAAAAAATTCATACTGCCTGCCTGAGCTTGGCTACTTATTTCTAAATGCTGAGTGATTTCAAAAGCACTAGTTTTGTGAGGTCTATAGATAAGATGGTATATGGGGAAGGACCTGGTAAGTCATAAAAACATCATACAAAGGATGGGGTTTAGAGGAGAGGGTCCTTCCCCCGCTGGTGGATATTGCAGGCCGGCACCCCTATGCCTGAGGGTATCTCTAACACTGGACACTGTGCTGACTGCCTTCTCAGCTACCCAGTAAAATAAGCAAATTGAAACCAGGCTCCATATCCACCTCCATACCCATAAGACCAACGAGAAACAGATTAAGCTTTAGGATTGGCACACTGTCTAAAAGAACTTCCTCGTGGAATAGACCTGTATACAAATGTACATTCATTTATGCCAACACTGAATATTAACCTCCCGATTCTTTCCATTTCCTAACTATTGAAACAGAATTCGATATAATATGTCAAAATACCCTAAGATTAACAATGACCAATTGAATTAAGGTGATTCAGACACTGAAGGTCTTACTGCCACTTTGTGAACTATAAGCTTATGACAACAATTCAAACTACACAACATATCCGAATGAGTATTCATATTGAGCAGTGCGCTCATATGGCCTGGAAGCTGTTTCAGGAGAAATGGATAAGGAAGCAGAGGAAGGCATCCTTATAACAACAAAACTATTTTCATACCTTGTTTGTCATCACCAGTAGTCACATCTTTTGTAGGGACAGGAAAGTCAGCCGTGTCTTTGACAGATGTTTTCTTGGAAAAGAAAATTAAACATACCGGTTGAAATAAAAATTAAATGATAATCACACATGACTAAATGTTTTAAAGTTAATAGTTCATGTCAAAATTTGTGTTTAGTAAGTGGTGACATTTAATTCTATTTTATTAATTTGGCTTTCTGATTCTGTATAAGTAAATTTTCAGTAAAATACTAATACACATAGAGGAAAAATAGATTTGAGAAACAAAGATTCAAATTAAGGCTTACTAGTGAATCTTACATTGAATTTGAATCTTGTGCATTTTTCCAGTCAGCCAAGCACTGCCTGGTCTTTATAAAATTTTGCACAAAAGGGAGAGGCTGTGATAAGTGCCTATATAGTGGGAGTGTTTGCCAGGATCTAATATTCAGTGGATGGTCTGCCTCCTTGTTGTGGGAGAAATTTTATTGATGAGCAGATCAAAAATTTCCCCTACGGGGCCTGGCATGGTGGCACACACCTATAATACCAGCACTGGGAAGCAGAGGCAGGTGGACCTCTGTGAGACTAGCCTTGTCTACAAAGCAGGACAGCCAGGGCTACAAAGAGAAACCCTGTCTTGAAAAAAAAATTCCCCTTACTCATAGATAAGAAAGGTTTTCAGTATACTAATAAATTGAATATTGAAATGTATCACCTATGAATTGGTTTTGAATAGTTTCAAGTCTAGTAACTGTATATTTATTTCTAAAAAGCCCACCCAGTATGTACTCTAACTATAATATTAGTAATATATAGTATGCTTAAAAATTGCCCAGAAAGCAGGTCTTAAATCTCCACTGAAACAAAACCATTGCATGAGGTGATTGGGGAACTAATTGGCTTGACTGTGGTAATTGTTTCACAATATATGCGTATCTCCATACATGTATCAAAACATCATAAATGTCTGTGTGACTATATTGGCCTAGTACACATCAACAAAGCTGAAACGTATGTACTCTAAGGCCTCTTCTGTGATTAAAGAATAAAATATATTCATATTTATGTTGTCTTTATGTGTATGGTCTATAAAGGTATCTAAGAATCAATGATAGGGAGATGGAGAAAGGGGTAATAGAATGATTTGGCTCCAAATGTACTTTGGTATTACATACATTTAAACATATTTCAAACTTCGAGATCAATGTAAAAATGCAAGGAAGATGATTAAATTCATAGATGTCTTTGGTCCAAAGACCTCTTTGAAAAAAAAAAAAAACTTTACTTTACTGAAAGACCTCAAACCCATGCTTCTGATTTAAAATGGTTCCAAAATAAAAAGTTATAGCACCACTAGGTGGAAATCTCATCAAAGATCTAATGACCCTCATTTATGTGATTCTTTAAGTGTTAGTGTCATTTTTATGGTATAATTTAATATATATTAGTACATATATATTATACGTATATATATATATATATATATATTAAAAAGAGTTAATGTTTAGCTCCAACATCCACTCAGTTATATAATAAACTGGAAAATGTTTTCTCTGTAAAAAATAGCAAATATTATAATATTTCCTAGGCAATCCCATAAGTACATTTAAACTAAATAGTATCTGAATTATGCATTCATGGATATTGTTTAAATCCTAGGATGAAGAAGAAATTTTAGATGCATTTCTTGGAAGAGCCATGTTGTACTTTAAGTAGTACACATGAAGTTCCAAGTAATCGTTCCCTTGTTTTTAATTTTAGTTTTGAGAATTTCATATATAAGTCCTGTTTATATCATTTCTTCTTTAAATATATTTTATTGATTACAGTTTATTTATTTTGTATCCAAGATATAGCCCCCGTCCTCATCCTCACCCAATCCCACCCTCCCTCCCTCATCTCCTCCCATGCCCCTTCCCCACTCCACTGATAGGGGAGGTCCTCCTCCCCTTCCCTCTAACCCTAGCCTACCAGGTCTCATCAGGACTGGCTGCATTGCCTTCCTCTGTGGCCTGGTAAGACTGCTCCCACCTCAGTAGGAGGTGATCAAAGAACCAGCCATGTCAGAATTCATGTCAGAAATAGTCCCTGTTCCCCTTACTAGGGTACCCACTTGGACACTGAGCTGCAATGGGCTACATCCATGCAGGGGTTCTAGGTTATCTCCATGCATGGTCCTTGTTTGGAGTACCAGTCTCAGAAAAGATCACTGGGCCCAGATTTTTTGGTTCTGTTGTTCTCTTTGTGGATCTCCTGTCCCTTCCAGGTCTTTCTATCTCCCCCTTCTTTCATAAGATTCCCTGCACTCTGCCCTAAATTTGGCTATGAATCTCAGCATCTGTTTTGATACCCTGCTGGATAGTCTTTCAGAGGCCCTCTGTGGAAAGCTCCTGTCCTGTTCCCTGTTTTCTCCCTCTTTAGATGTCTATCTCATTTGCCTTTATGAATGAGGAAGGATCATCTTACCAAGGGGCCTCCTTCTTGCTTAGCTTCTTTAGGCGTACGGATTTTAGTATGTTCATCCTATATTATATATCTAATATCTATTTATAAGTGGATACCTCACTCTTTTCTAGCTCCCAACATTTGCCTGCAGATTTCATGATTTCCTTTTTTTTAATCGCTGAGTAGCATTACACTGTGTAAATGTAGCACAATTTCTGCATCCATTCCTTCATTGAGGGACATCTGGGTTGTGTCCAGATTCTGACTATTACAAATAAAGCTGCTACTAACATAGTTGAGCAAATGTCCTTGTTGTATATTTGAGCATATTTTGGATATATGCCTAAGAATGGTATAGTTGGATCTTGAGGAAGCACTTTTCTTAACTGACTGAGAAAGTGCCCAATTGATTTCCAAGGTGGTTGTACAAGTTTCCATTCCCACCAGCAGTGGAGGAGGGTTCCCCTTTCTCCACATCCTCTCCAGCATGTGTTGTCACTTAAGTTTTTTATCTTAGCCATTCTGATGGGTGTAAGGTGAAATCTCAGGGTTGTTTTGATTTGCATTTCCCTGATGACTAATATGTTGAACATTTCTTTAAGTGTTTCTCTGCCTTTCAATATTCTTCTATAGAGAATTCTCTGTTTAGCTCTGTACCCCTTTATTTAATTGGATTACTTGATTTGTTGCTTTTTAACTTCTTGAATTCTTTATATATTATGGTTATTAGCTCTCTGTCAGATATAGGGTTAGCGAAAATCTTTTCCCAGTCTCTAGGCTGTTGTTCTGTTTTGCTGACATGCCCTTTGCTTAACAGAAGCTTGTCAGTTTCATGAGGTCCCATTTATTGATTGTTGATCTTAGAGCCTGTGCTGTTGGTGTTCTGTTCAGGCAGTTGTCTCCTGTACCAATGAGTTCAAGGCTCTTCCCCACTTTTTCTTCTAACAGATTTAGTGTTTCTGGTTGTATTTTGAGGTCTTTGATCAACTTGGACTTTAGTTTTGTGTGGCGTGATGAGTATGGATCTATTTGCATTTTCTACATGTAGACATCCAGTTAGACTAGTACTATTTGTTTAAGATGCTGTCTTTTTTCCATTGTATGGTTCTGGCTTTTTTGTAAAAAATCAAGTATCCGTAGGTGTGTGGGTTTAATTCTGGGCCTTCTATTCATTTCCATTGTTCTACCATTCTGTTTCTATGCTAGTACCATGCAGTTATTACTATTGCTCTGTAGTACAGCTTGAGATCAGGGATGGAGATACCTCCAAACGATCCGTTGTTATACAGGATCATTTTGGCAATTCTGGGTTTTTTGTTTTTGTTTTTTTTTTTTTTTTTTTCATATGAAAGTGAGAATTTTTCTTTCCAGGTCTGTAAAGAATTGTGTTGGTATGTTGATGGGAACTGCGCTGAATCTGTAGATTGTTTTTGGCAGGATGGCCGTTTTCACTATGTTAATCCTATCATCAGAGGGTGGTGACAGGGAGTGTGGCAAATGGGTGCTAATGCAAGAGGGTTTTGTTTTGGAGTAATAAAAATGTTTTGTGCCTATACTTCAGGGATACAGCTTTCATGGGTCATCACCCATGCTGAGGTGGAATGTTTAGTGACACAGCTACCTTTAAATCATCCATACTCTAAATAACTCCTCACCTATATTCTCATAAGAAATCCCAACAAACAAAAAATATTAGATTAGAATATATTTATGGTTGAAAAATTGTATCAGTATAGTAAAAACTGAACTGTGTTCTTTAAATTGGTATGGTATGGTATCTCTCAATAAAGGTCTTTTTAAAAAGAAAAAAATATAGTAATCTAAAATACTAACATGCAATGTACCTACAATTATACTCCATAATTCTTGATGAGTGTAAGTACAAGATTATAGCCCTGCTATCTTTAGAAAGCTGTGTTACTCAGAAAACTCCTTGTGACCTGAAAATCAACCAGCTACAGGTTTGCTTACAACACAAACACCTATACTGGACTTTGGGCTCAAAAGTCTGGCACCGAAATCTATTTACAGTCCATGGGTTCGTGACAATTTGAAAGACTTGCAGACAGAACAGTAATAGTTTATAAGAACATCAAATGTTTAGTCAGCAGCCAGTAAAACATGACATAAACATTTTAATTGCTGTATACTACCTCTACAAAGCAGGGGGACTTCATTGTTTCTATACATGCAACATGATGTACTTTGGTCTTTTTCACCTCCTTCAACTAGCCCTTCTTATCCTCTCTCCCCCCTTTCCCCTTTCACATTTCTTTTACCTGAACGGCCCTCTTTCTTTCCCTAAATATCACGTTTTGCAGAAAACATGATATTAATCTTTTGAAAGCTGACTTCATTTAGCATATGATCTCTAGTTACATTCACTTTCCCAAAGGTGGCGCACTTTTATTCATTTTTTTGGGATGGGGGGTGAGCAGTATCTCACTATATCACCTTGGACCTTGACCTGAGCTCTCTAGACCAGGCTTGTGAGGAACTCACAAAGATCTCTGCCTTTGCCTGAGTGGTGAGATTTATGTACTACTTAATACACCTGGATTTTGTTCACCGTTATGCTTAATTAAAAACACTCCATAGGTCACATTTCATCTATGCTAATTCCATCAACACAACTACTGTGGATCGTGCTATAATAAACCTACTTTCAGGAATCTCCATAGTCAGCTGACTTTGATTCTTCTGGGTATATATCCAGAAGTGGTATAAATGGATCACATGTTATTTTTAAGATTCTGAGAAGCCAGTACACTGATTCCCATAGTAACTGAAGTAACTTCCATTCCCAACAACCTTACTTGGAGTTACTTTTTACCTACCTTCTCATCAACATATGCTATTTGTTTTCTTCATGGCAGCCTTTCTGATGGTTGTGAGACAGAATCTCAATGTGGTGCTTTGTTTGGCTAATCCTGTTTTGTGAAGGTGGTCATGTGGCCCAGCTTAGCCTCGGGCTCACTATGTAGCTGAGATAGGCCTCAAACTCATGGTCATACTCCATCTACCTCCCAATTGCTAGGACTGCACATGCGTGCCACCACACCCAAACCTAGGACCTCATGCATGCCAGGCCAGCCAGCACTCTACCAGCTCAGGTACATCCAGGCTTCGGTGTAGTTTTCATTTATATTTTCTTGGTGGCTACAGACACTGAATGTATTTTGATGTATTGCCTATCTATAATTCATGTTCAATGTAGTCTCTATCAAAATCCCAATGGTATTCTTCACAAAAGCAGAAGAAAATCCTAAAGTTCACAGGGAAGCATGTGAACTTTATGTTGGTGGAAGTATGATCCACCAATTAGCCAGGGAAATCCTAAGTAGAAAGATTAATACCAGAGGCATCACAATACCTTTATAAAACAGCATGGCACTGACACAAAAGCAGACATGTAGAGCAACAGATAGAACAGAACATCCAGACATAAAGCCAGACAACTACAACTATGTACCAACAGTATCAAAAACATATATTGGATAAAAGGTAGCATCTTCAATAAATGGTACTGGAAAATTTGGATATATACATGAAGAAGAATGAAACTAGGTTCCCATCTCTCACGTGTCCAAATTCAATTCAAAATGGATCAAAGATCTTACTTAAGATTTGAAAATGTTGGAGAAAAAAAATACAATAACCCAGGAAATATTCCCAAGAACTGACAGATAGGGAGTTGAGATCTAGCTCAGTGTTAGTGTTTGTCAAGCATGTACAGTGCCCTGAGTTCAATATCCGCATCACAAAAAAGGAACTGACAAGTGGAATTACATGAAATTAAAAGCTTCTGTACATCAAAAGATAATTATCAAAATGAAGAGACAACCTACATATTGGGAAAATATGTTTCAGCTGTACATCAAATACCTAATGTCTACAATATATAAAATATTCAAAAAAACAAACATAAAAAAAACAATTTAATCAAAACGTGGACTAATGATCTGAACAGAGTTCTCAAAAAAAGAAACACAAAGCCGGGTGTGGTGGGAGGTGGAGGCAGAAAGATCAACAATTCAGTATATTCTTAGCTATATCAGAAAGTTTAAGACCAATGCAGGAAACATTAGACTTTATCTCCAAAACAAACAAACAAACAACAGCAAAAAAAAGGAGAGTATTCAATATTTTCATCCGTCAGGAAAATGCGAATTAAAATTGCTTTGAGATTCTATCTCACCCCAGTCAGAATGACTATCTTCCAGGAAAACAGATGGCAAGGAAAAAAAAATGCTGGCAAGGAAAAATATGAGGAAGAAGAAACCCTTGTGTGCTTCTGGTGGGAATGTAAACCTCTGCAGCCACTCTGGACAGCAGTGTGAAGGTTTGTCTTCCACAGGACCCAGCTGTACCACTCCTGGGCATATACCCAAACTACCCTATGTCCTACCACAGCGATACTTGCCCATCCGTGTTTATTGATGGTCACAATAGCAAGATTATGGAATTAACCCAGATACATGAATAAATAATCAAACTATAGTACAAATACACAATGGAGTTTTATTAAGTCATAAGAAAGTGAAGTCGAATGTGAGGGCGATCTGGCTGCAACATCTGTCAACCCCATTGATCATCAGGATTGATTCAGCTGATCTGGCTGGCTAGGTGGGTGTCCCCTTCCTCTTTCACCACTACATGTGCATCCCTCCCGAAGCTGAAGAGGACGACCTTCCCCGAATGGAGAAGGACTGGTTTTCGGTCAAGGGTATACGAGTAGCTGCACTTCCCTGCTAGAACCTCCAAACAAGCTCAAGAAAGTGAAATCATGGCAACTTCAGGAAAACATTGGATGGAGATCATTATATTAAGTGAAAAAGCATGTGTGTATGAAAATATAATGAATACCAATTCTGTGCATGGTGTAGCCCTAACGTAAGGTACCCATGGGCCTTTAAATAATCCCCTACCCATGCCCATGTAAGCAACCATAATTAAGCTTATTGGGTCATCACAAAAAGACATGAAGGAAACCATTGAGAAGAAGAAGATCAGCAACAATGGGTAACAGGGGTTAATATAATAAAAATATATCATATAACATTTTTGTAATGAAAGCTATAATAAATAATTACTATATGGTATCAAAATATTTAATTAAAAAGATAAAAATTTCAAAGTGAAAAATTTGTCATCACAGTAATCATAACAGTGGTAAAAAAAATGATAGTGGTGATGATAGTAGTGACAATAACCATACCAATTTATATTTATTAAACCACAACTAAAGATCACTGAGCACAGCTCTTCTATTAATGGTCCAATATCATATAAAATGTTCAAAATTGGGCAGAATCATCCAAATCCATCCTCATATAGTTTCAAAGTTTAAAACTCTGAAGTATCTTTAGGGGCCCTTATATATTTCTTAAACCTCTTTTCAAAAATTTTCAGGTTCCTCATATCTTAATAATGCTCAGCAATTGAAACTCCAACTTAAACTATTTACTGCAGGGCTAAAGAAATGGCTTAGAGGTTTAGAGCATTATCTGTTTTTCCAGAAGCCCAGGGTTCAATTCCCAGGACCCACATGGGAATCTGAAGCTGTCTCTAACCCCGGTCCAAGGGGATCTGACACTCTTTTCTTGGGCACCGGACATACACATACACACAGACATGCATGCAGGTAAAACACCTATACATAAAAAATAAATGAATAAAGATGTTAAATTATTTACTAAGAACTTAAAGCCTAGTTAAATTAAACAACTTGTCTAATCTGCCTTTGTCTGACTACACATAATTTCACATCCAGAAGGTCAAGAGATATTGGTTATTTCACACACTCTATTTTTATCAAGAAAAAAATTATATACATTATTCAGCATGCAGATTTAAAAGGCCAATCTTCAAATGAAGCATAAAAAGAATATGAGATAAATGTTCATTTTCCAGAGTTTGAGAAGCTATAAGCTATGATTTACTTCTACATATATAATGATTAACATGGGAAGGCTTTTGTTTTTGTTTTGTCTTGTTTTGTGTTTTTACCTCCATCTGATTCAAGTCACAGGGTTGTTGCTTTGCTGGCATTAACTCAGAATAAGAATCGAATATGGCACACTCCCACTTGGATTTAGGGAAAGCTAGTAAGGAAGAAAAAGAATATGTAAGAATATTTACTATAGCCATAGTATGTGGAATGTCTTAACAGCATTTCTGTACTTGTTAAACGACAGAGTCAGCTCGCTCACACACACTACCTACGTCACTTGTTGTGGTGAGACAGCATTTGAAAGCCTCTCCAAACTCAATCTAGTATTGCCATTCCCATTCCACATGTGCTGAAACTGAGGAACAGGAAAGGTAAACAACTTACACTCAAGGGCCTCCAGTCAGTAAGGGACCAGAAGAGGCGAGAACACGAGGCAGTCGGCTGACAAGTTCTTGCTCTTAGCAATGCATGTTGCAACATGGTAGTCATGTGCCATGTTAGCTACCAGGGTATGTTAAGTTTTAATCATATTAAATAAAAAGTTTAAGTGCAGTAGCCATAAAGGTGGTTTAGATGCTATGAATATTAACTAAAAAAAAAAAAACACCTTGTTTGGGGGTATTGCTAGAAATAAGCAAAATACTAAAATGATACATACCAAACATAACTTCATGAAATATTTATCTCTTTGGTTAGCAGGAGTGACCAAAATGAAAGTATACATTCTTACTGACTGACAATAAAGAAATAACATCCCAAGTCTCTTCTATCATACAACAGCAAAAGTAGTTGTTAATTAGGAAGCGAAGTAAATCAGCATAGGGGAGAAGGCATGCTACTTGATAAGCTGATCACCTAGCAGCCAGGTTACCTCTTAGAGGTGGATTCTACTTTACTACTTTGTCATGAAATAATTAAGAAAGAAATACCACAATGACTTGAAAAAGTTGCTAATATTCCAAAGAGAAAAAGCAGACTAGGGTAGTAATAAATAGAAGCAATGTATCAAATCTGTCAAGACACACTGTTAGGAAGTCAGATTTTAATAAAATGTTCTTAAAGCTGAATGTGAAAGTCTTGATTGGTGTTCTTTTTAACCCCTACTTATATTCCTGCCACTGTTGTGTACTGAAATGCTGGCTAGGGGGTACCACTACCATTCACAAGCAAAGAGAAGGCAGACTTGTATAGGAAAACTAAAATTTTTCAAAGACTACAAATGACAACAATCAACTGCTAACTCCCTCCACCTTATCTTCTATCTCTCTGTGTCCATTGTCACCTCCCCAAGCTGAGTCCTCCTCTGGTCTTGACTAGTCTTGTTCTGTGGTGAGCAACCCAGAGAATCATTGCAGACAAGAAATCTAACGTAGTCACTTCCCTGCCTAACCCAAACCAATGCTATTGCTCATTATTTGTTTCCAACTTTTCTCTTCAGCCTCTGAAGAGTCCTGGCCTCTCTTCTTTGTGCTATACACACCAACCACTGTGGCCTGAACATTCTATCCCTTGGATGAGCCAAACCCCTTCTTAGTGCCTCTAAGCATACCTGCCGCACCTTCTTCCCAAACCACAAAGAAAATACAATGCCTCTCACATAAGAAAGACTCAAAACATTTTTAACACACCATATAACAATCTTTTTTCCCCTGAAATCCACCTAGTCACCCAGATATGGAAGGGTCAAAAAGGTCTCGTGGATAGTCTGCCAAACAATGCAATATAGCCTTACAAGTCTGTCCTCTAATTTGGGGGAAAGGAATTAGTTCAATAATTATAAGTAAAATTGGCATCTGACATTACTATCACCTTGTTTGTTTTTTTAAAAAGTTATAGTTTTGAATTACCTTACCCAAGACCACTTAAGAGATGCTAGGATATGGCTCAAGATGCTAAACTTATAGTTGGCTCTATAAGGTTCATTTTCTATCAACAGTAGGATTCAGTACTTGCCTTCCATGATTATCACAAAAAGAGAAGTGATGTTGGTTCTAAACCACCCAGAAGACACAAGAAATAGAAAAAAAAAAAAACGGTTCATATTTCCTAAGATCATCCCTACAACTCGTATTCTAACATGTGATATTTGGATACAAGTTAAAGAGTCCTCAGATGTCAAGGAATCCTTGGTGTCCGGCTATCGTTTTAAGAAATAAGAGTTTGTTATTAGGCATGCACAAGAATTAGCTAAGGTTCTTGGTGCACGATGAGACCTTACCTGCTTGCAGGTACTCTGCCTGCAAAGTTGGAGGCAGGCCCTCTGGCAGAGGGTAGCCGTTCTTCCGCGCTACAATGAGATGAAATGCAGCACAAAACTCAGGCAAGGTCAGGGCTCCATCACAGTCAGCATCACTGAGTTCCCTAAAGATAAGAGATGTCATGAGTTGCCTGTCATGAAGCATCAGCCTCAAACATGCACACACAGTTCCCAGATTTCTGCCCATGGAATAGCCTCAAAGTTTCCTAGGCAGCAGCATCAGTAAAATGGAAATTCTTCAGGCTCTCTGACATATCAGTTTTTCAACATTGAGGCAAGCCATAGGAAAGTCTATCGAGAAAAAAAAAAAAAAAAAAAACAGTGATGTCTGGGGTTTTGCAGTTACCTGACAGTTGTTCAATAGGTGCAGCTGCATGGAGTAAAGAATGCTGGACTCAGTGCTGGAAATGAGCCAAGGAAGGGCAGACCCAGCCACTAAGGAGTTCATTCAGATCAAGAACATAGGCATTTTTTTTTCAGTTTTAGGGGAAAATATTTTCAAGCAGTATACATTTTTGTGGCAAGTTAGTTTCTAAATGAGAAGTTCTTCTTAGAGAACTGGACAAAGTGGTACATACCTTTGTAAGTCCAGCACTTAGGAGGCAAAGGCAGGAGGATCAGGAATTCAAGACTAGCCTTAGCTACATAGTAATTTCAAAGCCAGCCTGAGGCACATGGGACTCCGTTTTAGAATATGGAGACAGAGATGGAATGAGGCAAGAGAGAGGGTGAGAAAGAGGGAGGAGATGAGGAGAGAGAGGGACAGAGAAAGCGAAAGAGCAAAAAAGAATGAGAGCAAGGGGGCAGAGAAAGCAAAAAAGAGTATAAAGGAATATAAATGGGTTCAAGAAATACTGGTTGCATCATATTTTAATACAAAAGTAACAACTAGAAAAAGGCTGGTACTGGAAAAGACAAACATGAAAAGCAGGAGTCTTGAAAAGGCGCACCTTTGCTTCAGTCGCCATCTTTCACTAAAAGACACAGACCCATTTATTGACACAAAAGAAACCGATTTGCTAAAAGAACTAAGACCCCTTAAGCACCAACATCTCTGTAGTGTACAGACACAAGTATACTTGTATTAGGACAAGTATAAAGATAAGACTTGTAACACTCTACTAAAAAGATGTTGCTGTTGGGGAAAAAAGATCTCTAAGGGAAGGTCTGTAACTCTGCTTCGGACCATTTGCATCCTCCTAGTCCCCATGAGACTCTTGCTCTAATTCAGAATGCACCAGCCCTGAAAGAGCTGCTCCCTGGGGTGAGGTGTCTGGGAATTGCTTCAGATGCTGTGTGGAGAGTATGTCATTTAGCCTCTGTGCATTTGTCTCCACAGAAAGACAGGAAGCTCTGTTGCTCTCCTTGTGGAGCTCCTGTCCCCTTCCAGGTCTTTCTATCTCCCCCTTCTTTCAATAAAATTCCATGCGCTCTGCCCAAAGTTTGGTTATGAATCTCAGCCTCTGCTTTAGTACCTGGATCAGTAGAGTCTTTCAGAGGCCCCCTGTGGTAGGCTCCTGTCTTCTGCTGCTTCTATTGCATTTGCCCTTCTGAATGAGGATTGAGCATCTTGTCTAGGGTCTTCCTTGTTTGGCTTCTTTAGGACTATAGATTTTAGTATGCTTATCTTATACTAAAAACTGGGCCCTGAGGGCCTTGTAGAGACTGATACCCCAACCAAGGATCATGCATGGAGAGGACCTAAAACCCATGCTCAGATGTAGCCCATAGACTCAGTCTCCAAGTGGGTTTCCTAGTAAGGGGAGCAGGGGCTGTCTCTGGCATGAACTCAGTGGCTGGCTCTTTGATCCTCTCCCCCTGGGGGGGGGGGGGTGCAGCCTTGCCAGGCCACAGAGGAAGACAATGCAGCCAATCCTGATGAGAACCTGATAAGCTAGGGTCAGAGAGAAGAGAAGGAGGACCTCCCCTATCAGTGGATAGGGGAGGGGCATAGGAGGAGAAGAAGGAGGGAGGGAGGGATTGAGAGGAGACAAGGAAGAGGGCAACAGCCAGTATACAAGTGAATAAATTGTAATAAATAATTAATAAATTTGTAATTTTAAAAAGAATTTTAAAAAGGACAGGAAGCCTCACAGGGTAATGTTAAGGCTGGGAGCCCTGCCAAAACAGACTATATTCCTTTCAAAATGTTCATTTTTCCTACCCTTAAAATCTAACATAAGACTTGTTGAAAAAAAAAAAAAAGGCCAGACTATATGGCTGAAGAAGGTAAATCCAGCTCAAAAGTCCCAGCTCCACTGGCATGCACAGTATGACAGGAATAGTTCTTTAATAAGATGACACAATACATGATGTGCAATACTGAGTTCTATCATAATTTTATAATGCTTCATAAAAAATCTTTACATAAATATTCCAATGTTTTAATATATATTTATAACGGCGTGATCCACAAAGACAGTTTGGGGGCTGAGCATTTTCACTGATGCAAAGAAAACCATCTGGACCATTGCAGTGCAGCCCTCCTGGAGCTCCAACTGTGGCAGGGCCTCAGGAGTAAGGCAGAGCCAACCCTGTAGCAGCAGGGCTGAATTCAGGCCCAGCTGTGAAACACCTGCCAATTTTACAACGTTCACAGGCATCTAGAATAGACAATTCCAGAATGTTCTTGGACCTTCGGTTCACCCTACCTTATAAAATATTATGAAGAATGGCTTTTCAAGGTTCTCTGGCTCCCTGCCTCACACTAAGTTAAAAAAAAATGAAAATCAAATATATGACAGAATGTCTCACATGTGCACAACTGCCTAGACTGAAATCAGGATAAGAAAAGAATAATAAGTAGGAAATGACTTTTCTTATAACGTACATATATATTATGTGTGTGTGTGTGTGTGAGTGTATGCCACATGAACACAGTGCCCTTGGAAGGCCACAAGAGTGTTGAATCCCTGGGAGCTGGAACTTCAGGCAGTGAGACATGCCATGTGCATGCTGTGACCAAAATCAGCCCCTCTAGAGGAGCAGCCATCTCTCCAGCCTGAAGAAATTATTTTTAAACTGGTAGCTGACACTTAGGGTTCACAGTGTACTCCCAACACGGTTCATTTTAGTGTTCATGAGACAATTTATTTAATCTTCACAGCAACAAAAACCTGAGTTCTATTCACTCTCAACTTGTTTTTAAAATCATTCAAGAACAAGCTTTTCAAGGCTGTGAGTGTGGCTTAGCAGTGGATCACTTACCTAGTATGTGTGAGGTCCTGAATTCAAACCTTAGCACTACCAAAAAGTTTTTTAAAACAAAACTCACTTGATAGGCTGAGGCATAGCACTTGCTGCAAGTCTGAGGCTAACCTGAGCTACACAGTGAGTTACAGGTCATCCTGGGCTACAAAGTAAAACTTTGTCTCAAAGCAAACAAAAATCAAATCTTAAAAATTTGATTTTTGCTGGGCATGGTGGCACATGCCTTTAATCCTAGCACTCAGGGAGGCAAAAACAGGCAGAGCTCTGTGAGTTCAAGGTCAGACTGGTCTACAGAGTTGGTTACAGGGCCGCCAAAGCTAAACAGAGAAACCCTGTCTCAGAAAAAAAAAAAAAAAACAAACAAAAAAAAAACTTTCAGAAGTGTTAAAAGATGAGTATATGAAAGTACTCACCAGATATAAGAAAGCTCTGGAATGGAGAGTTTTGATTTGGTGAAGAAGTTCTTCGCCACAGACCCTGTAAAAAGTCATCATTTAAGTAAGCCATTAGTTACTTGTCTGGAGCAGCTTTTATGTGCAAGCAAATCACTACTTTTTTTTTTTTTTTCATTTAGCAAGCTCTACCAAATAGCCACAAATACATTTATTCCTTAAGCAACAACAATGACAAGGATTTCATAAAAGCAGCATATGGCCTGCCTAGCATGTCTGAGGGAAAAATACTGATCCTCATTGTTACAAAAATGAGAAAAATACAAATAAAAGGAATATATAGTAAGTTAAAAAGGAGCAGTGACAAATATTAAATCATATAAATTGCTGCTTTGCTTTTACCAAAACTGCACATTTTTACTAAGAATTTGAAAGAAAACCTTCAAAATTGCTTAAATAAATAAAAATATGCTGAATTTTATATTTGGAGAATAGAAAAGTAATATAGAGCCATGGCAAAATGATAAGCAAAAAGAAAAAAAAATGATATCATTAATGCCACCAGAGACATATTAAGAGATATTTTTGATGAGATTTAAAATTTCTTGGTGGCACTTTGAAGAATTAATCCAGGACTCTTTTCATTCTAAATTTATGTACGTCAGTTGAAATTGAGCTATCATCCACTGTTCTAACTGCAGCTGAAATGTTAGCCTTCACTGAGATTTTCATGCTTTCATGCTCTCAGTGGTTTCACAATTCAAAAGCCTCGTTTCTAATACAAGACAGCATTAAAGCCCCAAGTTCTGTTCTAAAGCTAAGTCAAAAGTCTCCCAGAGCAGTTACAAGTTTTCTAACTGGCTTTAAGACAGTAGAAATTGGAAGGACTGCAGTTGGTGATAGAGTACTTGAATGTCATATGCAAAGCCCTGGGATTCATGTCCCGGCACTACAAAAACAAAGAAAAGGCAGGCCAGGGATGGCCTGCACACTTTTTATCCCAGCACTCAGTAGACAAAGGCAGGCAAGTCTCTGTGAGTTTGAGGCTAACTTGGCATACAAAGAAAGTTCCAGACCAGCAGGTATAACACAGTGAGATACTGTTTCAAAAATAAGACAAAATAAATTTTAAAAAGAATTATAATAGATCCGAAAGCAATACTCACTTTCTTTCAATAAATTATTAAGAATCAAAAGCAAAGTATCAATAAACCAATAAGCTTCTCCCTAAATGCACTCTGTCAATAATGTTAACACGGGACTCTTGGCTACCAATGCAACCAACCACCTTGTGAAACACTTGACAGAAAGAAACTTGTCAGCCCATTTACCAACTATCCTATATCAACTAAGATCTAAAGGCATTCTCTTCTATCAGTCTGGCTTCTGCTGGATGCTCTCTCTTCAAAGCACAATAGACCCAACCCATTAGCTACATTTGGTTTTCATGCTAGAGACTATTGCACCACACAGTCTCAGAAAGGTTAGGTGGAAGGCACTGGGGAAGCTGACAGCTATCAAGTTCAGCTGTGTCCCAGATGCCACCAGTTAAGGGAGGAGCGACGGAGAAAACCAGAGTGCTCCCTCCTTTAGGGGCACCACATGAGAATTCCTCATGCACTTTCACTCCAGCCCCACCACCAAGCCATCAGAAAACAAGACTGTTTCCATGAAAAGTCCAGAGCATAGAAATCTAAAGAAAGAAATAGAATAGTGACCTAGGTCTGAGAAGTGGAGAAGACAGGAGGAGGAAGTAACTGCTACTAAGGGGGTGTATTATAGAGGGGTTCTAAAGGTTAAGGACTCTCATCTGTGAACAAACCCAAACCACTGAACGACACAGTTGAAATGGTAAGTTTTATGCTATATGAGTTACATGTCTACTAAGATGTTTATTTTAAAAGACATCATCTAATTGCCATTCATAAACCTCTTCGTTGTGATCAAACTAAACATTTTAAAGGAATTTATGAGACAATCAGAAAAAAGTTGAACCATTAAGACTTGATTGTATTAAGGAGTTTATGATTTTTTTTCTCACATGTACCAGTGAGTTCTAGTTATGTTTTGGTTTGGGTTTTTGGTGGGGTCTTGCTGTTGTTACTGTTGTTTGTTTGTTTGTTTTTCAAGACAGGGTTTCTCTGTGTAGCCTTGGCTGTCCTGGACTCGTTTGGTAGGCCAGACTGGTCTTGAACTCAGAGATCCCCCTACTTCTGCCTCCAGAGTGCTGGGATTACAGGCATGGATGACTACATCTGGTTCTAGTTATGTTTTGTTTTTTTTAAGACACTCAAAGATGTAGCCAAAATATTTTTCAAATCAAATGGCCTGGCAATTGTATTTCAAGATCATCTTGGCTGAGAGAAAATATAGATAAAATTGCTGGCACTTGTCCATAGGGACTTGTTATAGTCGCAAATCAAGTTGTATCTACATTTGAAATTCTGCAAAAAATAAAAAAGTTGAAAGAAAAAATTAAGAATCACCTGTAACAACTACTTATTTATATTTGGTTAACTATCTGCATGTGTTGTGAAAGGACTCAACTGAGCAAGAGGTAAGGCTACCCTGCATTTCCACTTGTCCTTTCTAAATCATGATGGTAAAATTCACTTGTTATATTTATATTATTCTAACATCCATAAGGCCATTACTATCAATCACCAAATTGATGTTTGCCTTTGCATATACAAGAATATTTCAATTATTTATATATATATATCTTATTTCATAGAAAATTAGTCTTAATCCATGTTTCACTGTTAGCGTAGAATGCTCAAAACCATACTGTTATTCTTTAAATTTGAAGTGTAAGGAGAAAGTTTTATAAGTTTTTTCTTCCAAACTCTACTATTTCACTGTTTTGTTTTTAGCCTGGTAAAATGTGAGCACATGGGAATTAAACCAATTCCCCTCAGCTTGAATTTTTCATGAGGGCACAACAGGAATGCAGATATCTGAAGATAATCCAAAAGAACTGACATTGAGAAAATGCTGGCCAGTTTCTCTTTCATATCCTAATTTCAAGAACCAGGAAAGAAAGACTTAAAGCAAAGAAAACGAGCACGAGCTTAAACGAGCACGAGCATAAAACATAAGGAGACCTCTGCTGGAGGCTACCCTTTGTCTTTGCTCTGACTCTAATACAATGACTAAGCAACTTAAAGTGTCCCTTGGCTCTTATCATCTACTATTCCAAGTGCTTTAGCTGATAAGTTTCAGGACCTGGACCAAGTTTCCCCAAATTCCCATTTAACCCTTCTGCAATAGCAGTGTAATTTTCCCAAGGTCATTACCATTTTTTTTTCTGCATGACTTATATTTGATAAGAAATTCCACCCTAGAGGAATACAAATTGGAATCAGAGAAGGTTATAATATTTGTTTTGTATAAACTGTTCCTCAAGATGTTCTCCATTATCACATGGGAACCAAGTTCCAGGACACCATATTCTCTCACCTGAAATGAAGGAACTCGCATCAGGCTGGAGGGACCGAAACTGATTGACATAGTACTCCCGCTGTTCTTCCGTTATCCTCCAGGGCTCATCTGGGTAATTACTGCTGTTATCCTGCAGTTCTCGCTCCACTGAAAAGGACTTTAAAAAAAATATGTTCACAGAACTTGCCTTTCATGAGATGAGGTGTAAGCCTTAAACAACAATGGAAGTTATTTTATACTCTAAATTTTTCCTCAAGGAAATAAACATAGCTGCCTCATAATAAAAATTTAACCAAAAACATAAGCTATGATATAAAGTAGATATCAAGCTTTATGGAGGGTTTTTTTTTTTGTATCTTCAACATTAACATGACTGAACATGAAATACTGAACAGTTAAAGAATGATGAAAAATTTCCAATGTGTTAAAAGGTGAGATTTAAAAGATTCTTCTCCTCAACTATTAATTCCATTTTGATCCTTTTAGATACATGTATGTGCACTGGCACACGGAAGAGGTGCAGCCTTGAGCTCTTTTTTAAGACTAGCCTGGTTACCCAGCTTGTTTCCTGACTCCATTTTACAAGCACTGGAATTACAGGCAGGCTGCTGTGCCCAGTGGGCAGTAGATGAGTTCTAGGGACATGAACTCTGGTCTTCACACTTGCATAGCAAGTGCTTTATGTGCTGAGCCTGCTTCCTAGCATCATACTCTCTTTTTCTTTATTTTTTCCATTTCTTTTTTCTTTCTTCTTCTTGATTTTTTCTTTTTCCTTTTTTTCTTTCCTTCTTTTTCTTTTCATTTCTTTTCTTTTTGAGACTGGATCTCACACTGTAGCCCAGGCTTTCCTAGAACACACTATGTAGCCAAAGTTAGCTTTGGATTTACTTTAATCCTGACTCATAATCTTGAGTGCTGGGATTATAGGTATGAGCTATGATAGCTGGGTTAATCTGGTTTGTTGTTGTTGCATTTACATTGTATAAATCCAGTAGTCAAAATATCCAACCCAAATACAATTCCCTGGGTTCTAGTTGAGTGGCAAGTCAGTATTACTGAATCTGTCCTTCACATATATGAGTTAGGAATATTTACCAAATACAAAGCTGAGCAATGAGAATTATGGTATTGCCATCAGCAGGGAAACAAGAGTGCATCAAACCTGCCACTAGAGGGCAGCCATGACAAATTTGAAGATTTAAGAGCTCAGAAAGTCCAGAGGCCCAATGCAAAAGAAAACAAAAGCTATACTAGGCTTTGGGGACAAAAGCAAAATGGAAATGCTGAGAGAAACATCTGGGGCTTTGCTTCATCCCTCCCATCTACTCTAAAACCACATAATTTTACTAAGGGCCATGACCATGGAATCAAGAGGTGGCCACAGAGAAGGCAAAAAGAAAAGTAGGAAAGAACTAGGAAAGAGAAGAGAGGATGTATCACTGTACAAAAGTCTTCATGCTAATTGTCGATCGCCTGTATTGACTTGTACTAACTCCTGCTCCCGTGGAGTGCATTCCCTCTCTCGTGGGAACAAAGCCTCCTGATCTAGCCGTTGTTCATGTTAGCCCATGATTTTTCTTTCTTCAATCTCATAAGCGGCTACTTTCTTTCCTATTTGTATCACTTCATATCTGGGTAGTGTTAGTGGCCTGTTAATAGGCCTTGTTCTATTCTGACAGAAAGAATCTGCAATAGGTGGGGAAAGGTGATTGATCCCTCTACTTAAAGGTCTACAAACACACAGCTTGATGGTGATCCTCTTGCTGAGGTAAAGCACTTACCCAGCATGTATGTGAGACTGGGATCAATCTCCAGTCCCAAGAAACATGCCTATAAAATTATCTGTTGCTTGTCAAAACAGCCCACCTCCTCTAGTTGGCCATCAGGGCTCTTGTAGTCCATGCTGCTCTTTGCTTACAAGGTAGGCTTCCGCTTGCCAGTGTGCTCACATGTCTTGTGAACCAAAATCAGATCGTCTTCTCAGGAAATTCTTCCTCTGATGCCAGACTGATAAAAGCCTTCCCTTTCTTACCTTCTTCTGCTCAAAAGGGCCCTCTCCATATCTCTACCAAACACAAACCCATGCCTTGCCTGCATAACCAAGGTCACTTTCTGCTCCAACAGTCTATTCCAAAGGTAATCAGTAGCCATGTGTAGATGAACGACCTGATACAGACCTGGTATCATCTGGGTAAGTTGGAATACTAGTGATTGGGCACACAACACACTGGCCTCTGAGATGCTTTGCAATAGAAAGTTCGTTTCTTGGAAGAACAACTTTTGTGAGATGTCATTATTAAAGATATAAATAATAAATACACAGACAAACAAACAGAGAAAGCAAAACCTGAACAGTTATACAACTAGGCCATAATTCAGAGCAAGAGCCAGGTGTGACTTAAGCTTTGAAGAAGCCAGAAGATTCTGTGAGATTGGGACAGAAGTGATGTAAAAAAAGGAGTGTGGCACATGCCCATAATATCTGCATCTAGGAGGCTGAGGCAGGTGATCAGGGATCATAAGTTCAAGGCCAAGCTTGGCTACATAGAGAATCAAGTTCTGCACGGCAACACTGTATCTCAAAGGATAAGAGTAAAAAGGGGGAAAAGTAATAAGGTTCTTAGAACCTGAAAGACAAGTGAGTACTGAAGCAAAACAGATCTAAAAGACCCATTGTGGCAGAATGAGTATGAAGAGCAAAAAAACGAAGTTGTGTATACAGAGGCTGACTGACCAATTAGAACTGCAGAACTGTGAAGAGAATAGAATGCTGCAGGTCCAGGGACTAATTAGCTTTTCTTGGCTAAGTTCTAGCCCTCAAGAACTTGCTCACCTTGTGTCAGAACTGACATTTTGTGACTAACAGTTAAAAACCTTTTGGAATCTACAAACTTAGCAGACCACTAGTTTTTTTTTTTTTGTTTTTGTTTTACCAATTTCCCACCAATGTATTTTAAACTCACCTTGATTTATGACCTTCTTTGTTCTGTAAAATTATAAAAGCGTCAGAAAACTCCTTCAATGTTTGAACATGAGATTTGGGGTAACATCAATCGTGTTCTGTGTTCCCAGACCATGGTCACACACATACACACACAAACACACACACACATACAGAGAGAGACAGAGACAGAAAGAGAGACAGAGAGAGAAAGGAAATCTCCCTATAGGGGCTGTCAAGATGCTCAGCAAGTAAGAGCTCCAAGACTAACAACCTTTGTTTAATCTTCAAAGCCCACATGGTGGAAGGACAGAAATGACTGCCAGAAACTCTCCTCTGACCTCCACAAACATGCTCTCACACATACATACATAGTTATGTAAATGTTTAAAAAGAAAAAAAAATATTAAAAAGAATGCCAGAGCTGTCAAGATGACTCTGTATGGTAAAGGTGCATGCAGCCAGAGTTTAAACCTCAGGAACAATATGGTAAAAGAAAGGAATCAAACTAACTTTTGCAAGTTGTACTCTGACCTCTACATATACACTGTGTCATGGGCACATTCACACACATACACACACCCATGCATGCACACAGACACACAAGCATGCACAGATACTTAAATTCAACAATTTTTAAAGAAAATAACCACTGGGTTACTCTACTCCCAATCTCTCTTTTTCTATTTTCATGAGAACCTGAACCCCTCATTTCTAAGAAAGTGTAAGGTGGCAAGGAACATTCTTAGTCCCTAAGACTTAGAAGGCCTTGTGACAAAGGAAGGGCATATAAACACTATGACCCTTCAGTCACCTGCATTAAGGCTGTTAACCTGTGCCCATTATTTTCCCCTTGTTTACCAATATATAGTTCAATTTATTTAACAAACCAAGTGATGTGAAGATCTTTTTTTAAAAAATCTAATTTTTATCTTTGCAATTTAATTTTTTTATTTTATAAAACCATGTGTTTGGTATCTTCCATAAATTATACAGACTTAGTAGAATTTCCGTGATTACAGCTCTCAGAAAGGAGATTGAAGCAGATGCTGAGACTCAGGGTCAAACTTTGGACAGAGCACAGGGAGTCTTATAAAGGAAGAGAGGGGTCTAGGAATAGAGGGACATGGAGGGGACAGGAGTCCCACAAGGAGACCAACCAAACTAAAAGATATGAGCCCAGGGGGTCCTGCTGATGCACCAAGGGAGGACCATGCATGAAGAAGACCTAGACCCCCTGCTCAGAAGTGACCCATTGGCAGCTCAGTCTCCATGTGGATCTCTGAGTGAGGAGAGCAGGGGCTGCCTCTATCATGAACTCAGTTGACTGCTCTCTGATCACTCACCCCTGATGATGCAGCCTTGCCAGGCCATGGAGGAAGATGATCCAAGCAGTCCTGATGAGACTTAACAAGCTATGGACAGATGGCAACAGTGGAGAACTCCCCCTTTCAGGGGACTAGGAGACAGGGATGGGGGAAGAGGGAGGGAGGGTAGGACTGGGGGGAGTTGACAGAGGGGGCTTCAATTGGGATATATTAAAAATGTTATTTTATGATAACCATGGTGACTACTACATAGTTTGGGCATTTCAAATACTTGTAAGTATTTTTGCAAGATTTCAAAAGCTAGAATTCTGCCAAATTGTGCTTTATCCCACAAAAAATCCCTATCAGATAAACAAGAAATACAAAAAAGTATGTCAGGTCTATTTTTATAAACAAAGTTGAATAAGCCCCTGAGTATGTTTTATACTGCAACAGATATGGAAACACTCACTGCTCTGCACTGTTCTCTTTTTCTTTTTCTTTTTTTTTTTCAGTTTATGTGCATGGAATTTTTGCTTGTATATATGTCTGTGCACCACCTGTGTGTACAGTCTTCAGAGGCCAAAAAGGATGTTGGGTACCCTGAAATTGGAGTTATAGATGGTTGTATGCCATCATATGGGTTCTGGGAATCAGACTTGGGTCCTCAGAAAGAGCAGTCATCTCTATAATCTCTCTAACCCCTCTTACAATTTTTTTTATTTTTTTGTTTTAATTTTATTAATTACACTTTATTCACTTTGTATCCCCCCATAAGCCCCTCCTTCCTCCCCTCCTAATCCCACCTTCCCTCCTCCTTCTTCACACATGCCCCTCCCCAAGTCCACTGATAGGGAGGTCTTCCTCTCCTTCATTCTGATCCTAGTCTATCAGGTCTCATCAGGAGTG